GCCCCGCGGCGCCCGCCGTGCCGCGCGCCCCACCTGCAGCACGCGCCCCGAGCGCGGCTCCACCACGCGCAGCCGCTTGTCCTTGCACGTGGTGGCCAGCAGGCTGCCGTCCGCGTTGAAGGACATGCAGAGGATGACGTCCGCGTGGCAGTCGATCATCTTCACCGGCTCGCCGATGTCCAGGTTCCAGATGAGCACCTGCCGCCGGACRGATGGATGATGAGACCTAATAGCTTAGGAAGGTTCCCAAATTTCCCCCAGGAGCAGCTGCCCGGCTTTCAGGGCTCACTATTCCCACAGGGATGCATTAACCTGTGTTTTCCAAGGTCCTTCAGGAGACAGAAGTTCCTTAGGGGGAAGCCTACCCCATGTATCATTCCATCTCTGACCGCAGCATCCCTCCTTGATGCCAGGAGGGATAACACTGGCCACACTTTGCACATTGCAGCAGCTCAATCGAGCTCGGAAAACCAGGAAAAACACCCCGGGAAAGCCCCAGCTCACCTTATAGTCATAGCCAGCGCTGAAGAGGATGTTGTTGGTGGTGGGGTGCCACTCGACGAGGCCCACGCGCCGGCTGTGCCCGTACAGCTCCAGCACCGCCTCCGTCATGTTGCGCTTCAGGCCGCCCTCGGGGATCTCCCATATCCGCACCTGCATGGGGACGGGGCGTTTTGGGGTGTTTTGGGGTGTTTTGGGGAGGGGATTTGCAGTTGCAACCAGGCTGCAAGCTGCCCCGGCCGGCTGCTCCACGCCGGCACGCGGCACTCACGGAGGTGTCCTCGGAGCAGGACGCGATGACGGTCTCGATGAAGGGGTTCCACTTGATGTCGAGCACGTTGCCCTGATGGCCGCACACTTTGGGGTAGTTCGGCTCGATCCGGCCAGTCTAGGGGGAAAAGAGCAGTAAGTTCTGCAGGAGCCTGAGCCTCGAGCGGCTCCGAATCGGCCCCTGCTGCTCCAGGAGGACTGGATGCACACACATACATGTGCATGTGTATACATACATACATACATATATATATGTACATGCACACACACACTATACATACACACATATATATATATGTACATGCACACACACACTATACATACACTTACTTATACTTACACTTTTCTTATATATATGCACCCTAAACATGAGCAGATGCACATTAAAATATATATACACACATAAAACCACACTTGTTCATGTATAATACACAAATACATATATTTATTTATATGTGATAAATATATGCATGCATATATATGCACGCGTACTTATGCAGACAAACACATATATATATATATGTATAGACATATACACATTTATGTGCAYGCACACACTGCCCAGCTGGACTCCGTGCAGCCTGGGGAGCCGGCGCTGCCGGCGGCTCCTTCCCGCTCGCCAGGACGAGCTCCGCGCTGCAAACTAGGTCAGCGCTAAATATTTCATGGTCCTCGCGGCGCGGGGAGGGAGGACGCCAGCCCGGCAGCCCCAGCACGCTGCCCACCGAGGGCTTTTTAAGCAGACCCTGCGCCGCGTGAGGGGCCGGCCGTGACGCTCCGGATCCGCGAGCCCTATTTAAACCAGCCTCCGATTCTGTTTGCGCAGGGAAAGCCGGATTCCGCCCGGATGGATCCACCGCCGTGCACCGCGCTTCGCGGCACGGGGGCTGAGCTAAGTGGGTCACGGCGCTCCCGAGSGATCCGCATCTGCTCCCTGGGAAAGGGGGGCTGCAGCATCCCCTAAACCTGCGGTAATTCCCGACGGCGCCGGATTACAGCCCCTGCCCAGCCCCTATTCCTTAGGATTAGAGCCGGTTCCCTGCCCATACGGGAGGTGTCTTGTTCCCGGTGCTCCGTGCAGGGACATTCCCACCTGCAGACGGAGCAACCCTGGGAGCACCGGGATGCTCCCTGGGTACCCASCTCCTGCCATCGGCTCCCAAGGAAGCCACGGCCACCCAGGATCTCCATCCCAGCATCCCAGAGATCCAGGGCATGGAAAAACGAGGCCCGGAGAGGAGCATGAGTGGCCAAGTGGGATAACTCCAGGGAAACTACTGGCAAAGACAGGTCCTTGGGAAAAGGAAAGGGGGAGAGGACGAATGGAAGCTGGGAATGGGTGTCCCGCTCCAGCTCCCAGCTCCGTGCAATGCTCCTCGTGGAGAACTGCTCTGAACAAAGAGCTGCTTTACCACTAAATTAAGTTTTCCAAGGGAAAGGCTCCTGGAATTTTTTTTCCTTTTCTATTTTTCCTGCTTTTCCCAAACTTTCTTTGCAGCACAAAGCAGAATTTCCTGAGTCCTCCTGTCCTCGGCAGCGAGGAGCTTCGCCTGCCTCTGTGCGCTCCAGAAAACTCCAGRAAAGGCCCCAAAACCTGCCTGGGGACAAGTAAACCTGGAGACAAGGACAGAGCCCCCCGGCTGCAGCAGCAGCCTCCCGGATTCTCCCTAATCCTGCATTAGCGTTTGGGGGGATCAGGGAAGCCACGGCAGATTTATAGGATTTTCCAAGAAAGCCCGGAGCTCATCCGAGTCCCTCACAGCTGTGAGTAGGGGACAGAACCTCTGTTTTCTGTGGCCACTTAAAGGTCTCTCCCTGGAGCATGGAAAAGGGGGAATCAGGTGGAATTCCTGGCTCCTTGCGGGTAAAGCCATGGTTATTCCTGGGGAGATGGCAAATGCACATGGGAAGGTGGGTGCTACAGGAAACAAGCCAAGCTTCCCAGGAAAATAAAATAAAATAAAATAAAATAAAATAAAATAAAATAAAATAAAATAAAATAAAATAAAATAAAATAAAATAAAATAAAATAAAATAAAAT